CCTGAGCCAAAATGAAGAATCAGATGCTCAACCAACTGAGCCACCCAGGACCCCCCATCTGTCTTTCTTTCTTTTTTTCTTTAAAATTTTTAATGTCTTTATTTTATTTTGAGAGACAGAGAACAAGTGGAGGAGGGGCAGAGAGAGAGGGAGACACAGAATCCGAAGCAGGCTCCAGGTTCTGAGCTGTCAGCACCGAGCCTGACATGGGGTTCAAACCCACAGACTGTTAGATCATGACCTGAGCCGAAGTTGGACGCTTAACCAACTGAGCCACCCAGGCACCCGTGTCTTTCTTAATAAGATATTCTCAATGTCCCAAAAGATGACCTCAGGCAGTGACCAGCAATCATCAGTAGATTCTTAGGGTAGGTTGATAGCTAATCTCCAAACTTCTGCTTCTCTTCTCCACCCAGCTCTCCACTCTGAAGTGTTCCCCTAAGGAGAAAAACCTTTCTCTGGGAAGATAAATTTTTAAACCCGTTCTCTTGGAATTTATCCCTACTCTGAACATGCTGACATAGAAGTGATAACAGTTAAATTTAGAAAGTTCTTTCTCAAATAAAAGAATACTCAAGCTGAGAGGAAAAACAGCTCATTCTATCCCGTTATTTCATTAGAAAGAAAGAAAACTGAATACTAAAAAGGTTAACTGCTTTGTCCAAGGTCACGTGGGAAAATTCACTCTTACTAGGTAGCCATTGAGTGTCTACCGTGTGTCCAGCGTGTCCCAGGCACTGGCGTTCCCACCAGGGACATGAGCGGCAGCGTCAGGGCCAGCATTTAGCTTTGTCCTCTCCCACCACTCTCCATTACGGTCCCCTCTGCGAGACCTCTGGCCTCACCCCCTCAGAGGATCAGTATTCAGAGTGATAAAAATAAAACAATTTCCAGGAAGAGGGAGCCTCATTTCTCTCAGTCCCTTCTGGCAGGAATTGAAGGATATTTGGGAGGAAGCCAAGGACATGAATGTGTCCTTATTTGTGGAGATGATGCCACTGTCGCAAAGCCCACAGGACACAGCCTTGACTAATTTTATAGGTAGCCCTACTGGAGTTATGCACCGTCTTGTGAATCAAGAGGGTCGTGGGGGCTAGAACACAAACACCACCAGAAAGCTGACCCACTCAGAGATTACAACCAAAACTTATCTCCCCTAGCCCGATGTAGAGCCAATTGAGTCGTAAACAGAACAGCCCTCGAAACTGACTTTCAGCCGATGGCTTACTGTTCCTGAAATGTCTATTTATTTTGGCTTCATGACTTAACAGGAATAGTGTGAGGTAAAATGACATGAATCACTGAAAGCCTTTCAGATGGTGAAGTACCAGCCTTGGCTGGAAAAATAAAACAAGCCATACAGCGAGGCACAAGGCGCACACATACACACATGCACGCGCGCACACACACACACACACACACACACACACGGAAGCCTTCTCCCAACTAAACTAAAATCTGACAATAGGAACCTTCTTGGAAGAGTGACTCTGGTACAACTCTATGAATGAATATTCATTTTGTTTAAAAAATTCAAATAGATGGATGAACCCCGAGAACATTATGCTAAGAGAAAGAAACCACTCACAAAAAGGCAAAATCTCTATGATTCTACTTCTGTGCGCTATCTATAATAGTCAAATTCATAGACACAGAAAGTCGAATGGGGGATGTCAGAGGCTGGGCAGAGGGGAGAACAGGAAGTTGTTGTTTAAGGGATACAGAGTTTCAGTTTTGCAAGGTGAAAAGGCTCTGGAGATTGGTTGCACAAGTGAATATACTTAATAATACTGAATTATACTCTTAAAATGGATTGTGATGGTAAATTTTATGTTATATGCATTTTATCATCATGTAAGAAAAATTTTAAATAGACATGAAGTAATACATGTTCTCCATCAACAGTTTTCTCTCATGTATGAGTGGTAGAGGTGTCACAGAAGAAAAACTTTCCCCCTACCCCCTTAGGGGTAGTCCATAGGGCCTGTGAATTAAATTGCCAAAAGCCAGATTGGCAAGAGAAAAGATGATGTTTACTTACATAGGTATTTGGGAACTCACAAAGAAACAAAGCTAAACTAAGGGTTTCTGTACCTAACTTAACAAGGGAAAAGGAAGGGATCAGAGAAGGTTCGTAGGGGAAGAGCAAATGGTTTCTTTAGGGGGAAAAATGGGCTTTAAGCAGAAAAAAAATGGAGATAAGATAGTCTGTGATAACGTTTGTTTCTGCAAGTGTGAATAGTCTTCTTTATCTTCTTTGGGGCCTGAAACTTCCCTGGAAAGGGGATTTATGATAAACTCATTCTAGGGATCCTTCCCAGGAGTGAAAACTGCCCAGAAGAGGGGAATGATGACAATCCCATTCCTAGGAGTTTCTGCTTTTAGTCAGATACATGTGTGTAGCGGAGGGCGGAGGGCGGGCAGCCAGATAAGGCTTCTTTCTGCCTCAGTTGATTGTCAGATGTCCAGCTCAAAATCGTTTTTACACCTCTCTTGTATAATATAGCCTACTTCATAAGTATTATTCTGAATATTTAAAAGGTGCTGTTCATAATATTTCCCAAAACTTTAGTTAATATGTGTGCCAAATGAACCTCTTCCCTCCTTGCAAGGGGCCCCAAATTACAAACCGTATGTTGCAGTTCAGTTTCAGTCCACAAAATGCTGACGAGCCCCTTGGGTGACTCGGTTAAGCGTCCGACTTCGGCTCAGGTCATGATCCTCACGGTTTGTGGGTTCAAGCCCCACATCAGGCTCTGTGCTGACTGCTAGCTCAGAGTCTAGAGCCTCTCTTTGGATTCTGTGTCTCCTCTCTCTGACCCTCCCCTGCTTGTGCTGTCTCTCTCTCTCCCTCTCTCTCTCTCTCAAAAATAAATAAAAGCATTTAAAAAAAATTTTTTAAAAAGCTGAGCCTAAAAGCTCAAAAGAGCTTCAGAGCTCAATTGTCATCAGCAAAGGGTAGCGAAGTGATAAAATTGGGGGCTGTGATTCAGTACAAAAATATGATTTTATACCTGGAAGGCACCAGCTGGATGGCACAGAGGATTTTATTTTTGCTCTAGATTCTGGAGCCCAGAAAAAATGAAATTATAAGGACACACCCTCTTTGCAGGGATGTCCATTGGTGCTTGCTCAGGACCAAAGAGATGCAAGACCAAGCTGCTTTTAGAAGGCATGTTTGTCTACACATTGGCATTTTTCAATATTGCTTTCATTCTTAAAATTCCATACGCTTTACTGCTTTACTGCAAGTTCTTGAAATAAACCTAGGGAGTTTTCTAGGCAGAGTAGAAACCTACAGAGCCTTGGTACTCTGGGTGAGATCCTGGACCAGCAGCATGTGGTTGCCAGTTAGAATGCAGGGTCTCAGGGTCCCAACTCTGATGTACTGACTAGAATCTGCATTTCTAAAGAATTTCATTAGGAGATTTTTGTGTCCTTAAAAGGCTGGTTAGAAACATGAAATTCTGGGTAGGCTTGGGTGGCTCAGTTGGTTAAGCATATGACTTTGGCTTAGGTCATGATCTCGCCGTTTCTGGGTTTGAGCCCCATACCAGGCTGTCTGCTGTAGGCAGGGAGCCTGCTTTGGGTCCTCTGTCCCACCCTCTTTTTCTGCCCCTCTCTCACTGGCACGCTCTTTCTCTCTCAAAATAAAATTTAAAAAAGAAAAAGAGAGGAAAAAAGGAACATGGAGTTCTGTGTTCCACCTCAGTGAATCTTTCCTAAAGTCTGAGACGTCCTAGCCTAGAAGTTTCAAGTTACTTAACGTGAAATTTCATATCCATAGAATTCCTGTGATAACAGTGAATTGCTTCTGGAGGAGAATATTGGGACAGGGACACTTCCATGTCATACCCTTTGTATGGCTTGAATATTTTTTATGTGTCTATATTATCCTTTTCTTTGTTTATTTATTTATTTTAAGAGAGAGTGAGTGCAAGCACCAGTGGAGGAGAAGAGAGAGAGGGAGAGAGAGAATGCTAAGCCATCTCCATGGCTTGAACCCATGAACTGTGGGATCATGACCTGAGCAAAAATCAAGGGTTAGACACTCAACCGACAAAGCCACCCAGGTGCCCCTTATATGTCTATATTATCTTTATTATGGTAAAGTAATCATGAGCTTTTTCTAACCACATTTCAGTAGAATGTTATAATTTAGGAAGGACTTTCATGATTTCACAGATACTCCAAACATCCATGAACTAAGAAGTGACACATTCAGGTATCCCTATACTACAAAGGAAGATTTTGAAGTATAGAAATAAAGATCATAAGGAAACATTGAAAATTAGAGACAAAAATGGGATCCAAGTGTTTAAAATATTTTTATTATGAAAAATTCAGACATTTATAAAGTAAATAGAATATTATAACAGACTCCTATCTACTATCATTCCCACCCCCTGCTCTGTTATTTTTATACATATATTTTTTAAGTAAAATGTACATACATTGAAATGAACAAATCTTATCCAGATCCCTTTTTTCCCTTAATTCCAATCTTGTTTGGCAAAAATCTGGCTCTATCGCCTCCCAAATGTAAATGCTATTGACGGATTTCCTGCTGTTTCCTACACTGAGTTGAATCATCTTCCCTCGATTTAGGTTTGGCCAGAAATGGAATGCCTTTGTTCTCAGCAGAAAGCATATGGGATTCTAAGTCTGATCGCTGCATTGTTACCCACTCGCTAGTGAAATCCGGGCTTGTCACCTTCAAACTGTCCTCCTGGCCCACAGCCTCCCTCCAGGACGGAAGCTCAGAGCCCCTTTGCTGTGCTCTACCCCCACCCAGCCTTGCACCCCATCCCCACCTGAGTGCACACTGCTCTATATGGGCTATTTGAGCCATCAGAAATACACTCGCCGCTCACTTATTTAGCCTTATGTGCCAGGCGTTGCTGGTGCCTCATCTCCAAGAGATTTGAACTTGCAAGCCTCCCATTTCCCTTTAAAAGCTGGAAAAAGAAAATCTAAGCTTGCCTTCCATCTCATTGCAGGAGATGAGTCAGCAGAACAGGAAATTCTCCCTGCACAAGCCCTTCGGATCCCGTGGGCTGGGTGTGTGTAGCATCGAACCAGGGCTGGGAAGGGAACCAGCTTCTCCCCTGGAACCACTTTGAAAGGTGAACAATGTAAGTTGGCCGGTGAGTTTGGAAGTGTTGACACACACCTTGCCAATTAGAACTGTCCCGACATGTTTGGGGGAAAGCTTAGCTGTTTCCAAAGAAGGAACAAGGCAAATAGGGAAATTGGTGGTTGCCAGAGTCTAGGTGGTGGCTTTAGAGCGGGAGAGGTTAGTGGAGTTACTCCCAGTGAAACTCACCGTGCATCTGGGCAGCAAGCCCAGCTTTCTGGGATGGTTGAGGAAAGAAGTGATTTAAGGTGGTGGTCAAAGAAGGTCCTTGTGCAGCACCTGGGTGGCTCAGTAGGTTAAGCGTCCGACTTCGGCTCAGGTCATGATCTCATGGTTAGTGGGTTTGAGCCCCGCATCGGGCTCTGTGCTGACCACTAGCCCAGAGCCTGGAGCCTTCCTCAGATTCTGTAACTCCCTCTCTCTCTGACCCTCCCTTGTTCACACTGTCTCTCTCTCTCTCTCAGAAATAAATTTTTTAAAAAAAGAAGAAGGTCCTTGGATGCCACAAAGCCCTCGTGGTGCAATTATGCACACGTAGTGGATTACAAAACAGAGAAGAGCTGTGGGCACTGGAGACACCTGTGTGAGGCGGCTGCCTCTGGCCCAATCTGTATGACAGTGCCCTGCCCACGGAGGGCACTCATGGCCTGGGTTCTGCTCCTAACCAGCTGTGGGGCTTGGAGGAAGTCATCCTATCTCCGTGGGGCTCAGTTTTCTCATCTGCAGAAAGAAAGTTAAACACAATAAGCCCTTGTATTTCTAAATTGCAAATCTTTCTCGACTTACAAAGGAGTTACGTCCTGGGAAACCCCATCATAAGTTGAAAACATTGTTAAGTCGAAATGCATTTGATGCCGCTAACCTACCCACAGTCACCGCTCCACCTAGTTGACCTTACACGGGCTCAGGACACTTGCATTAGCCTGCAGCTGGGCACAAGCATCTCACACAAAGCCTGTTTGATAACAGAGTGTTGACCATCTCGTGTAATTGATTGAATACCGTACCGAAGGTGAAAACCAGAATGGCTCTCTGGGTACAGAGTGGTTCTAAGTGCACGGGTCGTTCGCCCTAGCGATGGCGAGGCTGACAGGCAGCTGGGGCTCGCTGCCACGGCTCCACGTCACGAGACAGGATCGTGTGGCACATTGCTAGCCTGGGAAAAGATCCAAATTCGAAAATCGAAGTATGGTTTCTACTGAATACGTATGGCTTTCGCAGCATCATGCAGTGGGAAAATATGAAGTGGAACCATGGCAAGTCGGGATCCGTCTGTACTGTTGCTTCCGTACGAACTCAGATTGGGGTGGCATTAACCCCACTTCCTCCTTTCTTTCATGACTTTTCCAATGGGACAGGGAGAAAGAAACAGCTGAGTGTGGCTGTGAGCAAAGCCAGGACTCTCTAAAATAAGTATTCTGTGGGAATCAGGCACTAGGTGCCCTGTGTGTGTGTGTGTATATGTGTGTGTGTGTATATGTGTGTGTGTGTGTGTGTGTGTGTGTGTGTGTACATTTCTATTGGGTGGGGCTGTGTAGAGGGGAAAAGCATTCAGCCTGCTCTAAATGTTTCAGCTTTGCGGGGAAAGTAGATGCAGCAAAGATTGAGGAGTGAGGTTTTGCATATGAGAAAGAGGTGGGGGAGGAGCAAATGCACTGAGATTCCAGCACTGAATTAAAAAAAGAATGAGGACACAGAAGGGTAGGCTGAAAATGAGCCAAGAAGTAAAAATATGCTGGGGCTTTTAAATAGGGTGTAGCCAGAGCTGGTTAAATCCTCCTCTGCACTCTGACTGGCCTTCCCCTCACCCCGCCCAGACCCATTCTAAATTCTTTAAAGGCACAGGTCCCTCCCCCCACCTCCCCCACGGAGAAATGATATAGGAGCCGGAAGGAAGTGACACATTTTCCTGCTTGAATGGAGCGGGCCCCTGATGCAGCCTCGCAGCCACCGTCAGCAGTCTTATCTCGCCCCGGCCATCCATCGTGGGCGCCTGGCTCCCCAAACAATGCTTTCCTCCCGGTGAATGAACCCTGGGTGATGACCAAAAAACCCAGGCGAGCTCCGTGCTTAGAGGTTCAGGACAACCATGCACGGCTCACGTTCCTTTCCAGGGCACCATCCCATGAAGAATCAAGTGCAGAGGGGAGCACTTGGTGTTTTTGAAAACGGGTCTGAGCCCCTCGGGCGGTGAAGGAGGAGAATCTTAAGGTTGGTTTCCTTGAGGACCGAATTTCAGTGCCACTTCCCTCATCTCATAGCTGTGTGACCTTGGGCAAGTTGCGCGGCCTCTCTGAACCTCTGTTTCTTCCTCTATAAATGGGGTAGGGGTGGGGGTGATAATAATAACTGCCTTGAAGGTTCCAGTGGGTATTTAATAAGGTAGCAGGTGGGAAGGACTTGGAGTGTTGTAAGTATGTTAAGATGCTCATTTCCCTGCCCTGCCCATCTTAGGCATGCCCCTCACCGGTCTAACCCACACTTCTATTTGCTTACCCTTTAATGGCACTTTTTATCAGTGCCTTACCAGCTTAGCACTTAATTTTATTCAGTTATATTGTAGTTTAATCATGGAGGCCTCATTCACTCAGTCACACCAAAAACATAAATCAGCATTCCAAGAGAACATCTTATTAGCAGCTGCCAAATGAGTAACTAAATGCAGTACTAACTGAACAATAAAACTACATAAAAATAGAGAGTGAAGTTAAAAGCATCACAGGCAAAAATAACTCCTAGACTTCCCTGTTCTCATGCTGTTTTTGTCCTGCCCGGTGTGTATCTCCACTCTGTAGGATTTTTCGTATTATGTTATAATCGTCTAGTTCCATAATTGTCTTTCATGAGTCTATAAGCTGCTTGAAGGCAGGGACAATGCTTCTTTGATCTTTGTATTTCTAGAACTCAGCTTAACAAACTATATCGTGGGTACATAATAACTGTTTAATCAGTTGCTTTGAACAAGCCATTGAACTAGTAGATCTTTGCCTGGTTTGTTCACCGATGTAGCCTCTGCCCATGGAATAGTACCTGGCACATAGCAGGCACTCCCGAACGTGTGTTGAGTGATTGCCTTGGGACCTTCCTGATGGCACTTTCTTCATCTAGATGAGGCTGGTTCAAGGCCGGTGGGCGGCGAGGGGGGTGTCAGTGGACTAAATCAGCAGTTCTCAAATCCTGTTTTCCAATGGCCCACCGCATAATTCCCCTGGGATTGTAAAAGATACAGATGCCTGGACCCCCCTCCTGAATGATTCAGTAGTCTGAGCTAGGATCTATACATTTGTAGCTTAAAAAAAAAAAAAAGAAATCTCCAGATGATTCTGGTCAAAGCATAGGCCTCATTATATTAGACATGTCTAACAGTTGTCATGTAGTATGATTTGGCACATCATTTTGACGGTTTCAAAAGATCATCAGAGGAGTTTACTGGGCTGATATAAGGAGAATATATTTGCCTCAGGCAAACTAGTAATCACGCACCCTTAAACCAATATACGTTTTTAAATCATGTGTTTAGAGGAGTTAGAGAGGAACACATTAAAAAAATATTTTTTGATGTTTATTTTTGAGAGAGAGCGCGAACACACACACGCACACACGCAAGAGTGAGTGGGGGAGGGGCAGAAAACAAGGAAGGCACAGAATCCACAGCAGGCTCCAGGTTCTGAGCTGTCAGCACAGAACCCGATGCGGGGCTTGGCCCCATAAACCATGAAATCATGACCTGAGCCGAAGTCGGAAGCTTAACCCACTGAGCCATCCAGGCACCCCAGAACACATTTTTTAAGGAAATAAATAGATATTGCATACGTCTTTCTGTTTGAAATAAGAGATTTAGGACGTATTTTTTTTTTTTGTTTTTTGTTTTTTGTTTTTTTCTGATTTTCTGAACCAGACAACTTCTTAGGAGGCAAAGAGCATAGCTTCAAACTTAAATTAAGATAATTGCTTCAGGTAAACAACGCAATGTTATCCATTATTCAGACAACCATCAGCTAGCTGTTTTAGGGTTCAGACAGGACCTGACTAAAGTTGCTGCTGGAACTTTGCACGCACCACAAAAAAATCCTGAAGTTACCAGGGGTACAAAAATCAGAAAGGGTTTTGTATTTCTTTTCTTTTTAATTTTTTAAATGTTTTTGTATTTTTGAGAGACAGAGACAGAGACAGAGCACAAGCAGGGGAGTGGCAGAGACAGAGGGAGACACAGAATCCAAAGCAGGCTCCAGGCTCTGAGGTGTCAGCACAGAGCCTGACACGGGGCTCAAACTCATGAGCTATAAGTTCTCATCCTGAGCCAAAGTTGGACACTTAACCTACTCAGCCACGCAGGTGCCCCAGTTTTGTATTTCTTCAAGGGGACACTCTCTATGGTGGTGGCCCATTTATATTTCACCGATTAGGTATTCTCACCTGGCTGGGGTTGGGGTTGTTCAACTTTACTCCAGTGATGGTTGACTGCACCTTTCAAATTGGTGCTGACTGACTGGCCCAGTAGTCCTCTTCACATTTGAGACATGCTAATCAAATGACAAAGATCACTTCTATACCCCCATAAATATTTTTTCTCTCTCTCCCAAATCAAAGATTGTCCTCATCTGTTATATAATGGTACAAATTGGGGATGAGGAAGCTGGGGTGAAGGAGGGAAGCAGTTCTATGTTAACTGGATCAAGTTCCCTCCCACTCAGTGGTAAGGGCATCCACTAAGAAGCCACATAACAGGGGGAAGAGACCAAGGGAGACCCTCTAGAGATTAACATCTCTTAGCAGCCAAGTAAGGATGGATCAGTGAAGGTACGGCAGTCACCTGTTGAACTACACCAGTGTGTCTATAGTTATTCTTTGTTTTCCTTTTCTATTTTGATGAAAAATTTTGTAGTTTTTACACTGTCACTGAAAAACACACAAAAGCCTGTGCCATTTCCCAAAGTA